CTCCAGTGCCTATTTCTAATGTCACACCATTAAGAAACTTCAAAGATGGAAGAATTAGTATAAGAGAAGAAAGATATCCGAGTCCGAGTCCTAAAACTTATTATCATAGAAGTGGACCAATGACTGATCTAAGTGGCGGCCTGTCTCCTCACAAAAGGGTAACTTTAGATGATATTCCTTTTCTTATAAAAACTTTGAATGTAGATTACGACCAAGAACATTTATCATAGAATTTTCTTAATCAAAGAAATAATTGAAAACTTATTTGCATATATTTTTGTCAGCCAAGGTTTATCACGCCCCCAAATCGAATCGATCGATTGCCAGTACCTTCAATAGACACTTCGCGACCAGAACGCAACATGTCAGGACGTATGGCTATGGAAGGCTGGCCTACCTCACCACGTCGTATGCAATTGGCAAGTCCGCGCTTCAACTCGCTAACTGATTTAGAGGAGGGACCGGAAGGATCGGAACAGCAGGTATTTTATCTATCAGAATCATATGAATGAATTTTTGAAATAACACACATAGTAAGTGTTATTATTTGTACATACATATGCCCATATACTATAATTATAGCAAGAGTCACCATCATTGCAAGCGAATCCTATATCATCTCAACATTCATCGTCTGTAGTAGGTTCTAATAACGCTGATGGTCGTACCTCACCTATACATTCGAAATCAGAGTTAAACGTAATAAGTGAGGACGTGGAGGATGAAATGAAAGATGAAGAAAAGGAAGCAACCGAACCGGAGGAACCAAAAAAACCTAAAAAAAAAAACAAATGAACAAGAAGAGTCTCAAAATTACATAAATGATATTATACCTTCAGGAAAATTCTCGACAAAAAGTACACGCCTTGGAGAATTGCAGCAAAGTGACAATGAAATACCATCATCACCTTTACTTGCAAATGCTCAACCATTAGAAACGACTCAACCGATGCTATCATCCGGTAAAAACAATTTTGGCAGTGCAAATAAGCCGTTAGTCCATGAGAGCATGGAATTAAGTGTCATACCAAAAGATACGCATTCTGTGTCTGAATGGGTACAAGATGATAAAAAAGAATCCTTAATACTTGATAATCAAAAAGAAAATTCAAAGGGAAGTAGCGAAAAACGGCTATCTGGGTCTTTTACATCGAAATTGGGAGGAATAGAAGAAGAGTCAGAAGAACCAGAACAGTTAGAGCAAAAACAGCCAGAATTAATAAAAAATACTAGTACTCGCAAAATACGGACAATGTTTTCAAAGGAAACACACTTAGAAGAACCTAAGTCAGAGCCCATAAAAAAATCGACTGGTGCAAAAATCACACGTCGCCTGTTCACTTCAATTCCTTCAATACAAGCCAGACGAACTGCAACTCCTATGTTGACAGTTAATACCCCATTACCAATGCTGTCAGAAACCGAAGATGAAGAAGAAGCAGAATCATCTAGTACAAATGTTAGACAAGGGTTAATAAGGTCACCTTCTGATCAATCGGACATATCACCATTTCCATCCGCGCCAATAACACCATCTATATCAGTGGTTTCAACTGCCCCTTCATCTGCTAAATCAATGGCATCGTGGCGATGGCCAAAAAGACCTTTTAGTCCTGCTCGGGAAAAACATAAAGAACCACAAAGTTCTTTATCTGAGGATAATCCAGCAGATCATGTAGGAAAGGTAGGGAATCTATGGGCAAAAAAGACGTTAGGACAATTAAGAAAATATCATCAACGTCGCAGTCCAAGTATATTAGGTAGAAAATTTGGACTGACGAGTCCTATAAAAGAGTCACATGGTCCATTACAATCACCCGTGAGCGACATATCCGATTCTAAAAAATCGACAACAATGCAAGTATTGGAAGAGACGCTAGAAACAATTAATGAGGAGGATGAAGATGAGGAAATTGGCATTTGGTCGAGCGAAGAAGTGGATCTTACGGAACCTTGTACGGAGGAGAAGAAAAGTTTGTCACCCACATCCATGAATGTATTGAATCGACAGATCATTGAAGAGGTTGTTGAAGAACCGCACGGAATGAGAGTTTCACCAGAATATTTAACGGTAGTTGGAGGCCCATCGGTAAATGCAGCTAGTCCTAACACATCATCTGCCTCGCTCCCACTTCGAAGTAACCCAAGTAGTTCTTCATTAGCAAAACATAATGCTAAACCATTATTCGAGACCACATTTACAATTTCCAACAATACAAATGAACCTCTCCGATATGAAATACTATGGCCTGCGTTCCGATTTGACGTTAGCCCGGCATATGGTGTTGTTAAAGCTCAAGGCGTGACTGTCGTTAAAATTTCAGTTATGAATAAGCACTTTTCTGCAGGTTCACGACGTGACGAGACCAAAGATTCAAGAAAACTAATGGGAATCCTTAAAGGATCGGAAACAATTGACAATAATAATAAGCCTTTGATGGGCAGAACCAGGATATTGGTACTCTGTGAAAATGGAGAACGAAAAGAAGTTGTAGTTGACATTGTACAAGTAAAAAAGAAAGTAAAGGGTGAAACTGATGCAGCACGATCTTCAAAAAATGTGAAAGATTCAGAAGATGGTAACTTTCGAAGGAGTTTCTCACAAAAAATGGATAATCTTTTTAGAGTCGCAAAAAGAGCAAGAACGAAAAAGGATAATAAAGACGAAGATAAATCACGATCAACCAATAACAAAGTAAAGACATCTGTAAGCAAGGCCATAGGATCCACTAGCAAATCTGCGAGTTTATCTGTTCCCAAAAAGAGCATGTCAAGTGGGCCCACTAGTCGTCCCAGCAGCCCAGAAGGTAGTAATAAGTATAATCATACAGTGAGAAAATATGCATCTACAACATCAATTCGTAGCCGACCAAATACACCGGATACTTATAGACAAATTACGTCGCCTTCACCTGGTATTCGTTCACGAACACCTGATGAGTCCAAACCTGGAAAGCAACTCCCACAACGTAAAAATTTCATATACATTGGTGTTCCTGGTAATATCAGTTGTCCAACAACGGTAATTCGAGAAACGAACCATAGCGTATTTCGTATTCATAATCCGACCAATAAACCAGTTACTTGGCATCTTACTACTGCAACAAATCCTTTTCTGCGTCGTTCCGACACAACCAATTCAGCCCAAAAAATAAATGATGAAGTCTTCTTGATAATGAAAACGAGTGGATTACTTCGAGCAGGTCAAACTGAAAGAGTTGATATAAGCTTTCGTCCTGTTTTCATTGGCACATATTCACAAAGTTTTATGTTAGAGGATTCGATTAGCTCGGAAGGTTCTGGTGGATTGGGTGGTGTTAGTGTTCGCGTTCAAGGCGAAGGAAGAGCGGATGTATCTAATCAAATAAAGGTTGATACAAAAAAAAGTGGATCGAGAACGATGGACTTTGAAGTTTCCGAATCTGAAATTCAAATTCCTGCTACCAGAATTGGGAAACGTAGATCAGTTGGAATTAATATAAATAATCCCTCAAATCAACTCGTAAGGATAAAGTGCAAATGTGAAGTAATGGGAAACTCAGGCTCAATTCCTAATTTGTCAATACCTTTGTCAAGTGTTCAAATAAAACCGCATGCATCTGTTACCTTACCGGTACGTTTTCAACCAAGAGAAGTGGGTGAAGTTCGGGCTGTTGTCAAGCTACAAGCTATCGGTAGAGCAGAGGTTTTGGTGGATATTATTGCGAAAGGTGTGCAAGATACTCCTATCGCTACTGAGACATAGTCGTTCGATATTGTGACTGTGTATAACTCTCATCCTTACAAAATGCCCAACATTCTATCTACCCCTGTCATATCAACAAATATGAAGCTTACATTTTTTGACTGTGACTTTGGCATCGGGGTTTGATTTGCTTGTGTGCATTTTAACTTCTAGAACAAGCGATATACTACGCTTCCATTCCTTTCTTTAATCCAACTTTTAGTTCATCCTTTATTATAATCTTATTTTCATTAATTGCCGCTATTATAATCTATTTCATAAAATCCGAAATTAACAAACCAAAAAGAAAGAAAAAAAAAAAAAGAAAAAAAAAATCGAAAAAAATCACAAACGCACCAATTAATTGACGGATTTTCACTTTTCATTTGCATTTTAAACAGAATATGCTTAATCCATTCATATCATTTTTTTTACTTCTATTTATCGATTATCCACACATTTAATTTGTGCGTATTCATTAATAAAATTTCAATGACTTATAGTCTTTTTTTTTTTGGTTTTGGATAGCACCCTTTTTTATCAAAAGTATGTAACAAAAGTATATCATACAAAAAAATATGCCCACAACTAATAATATTCAGACTTGTTATGTTGAGGGTCAAAAATTTATTATACTGAATGAAATGAAATTTTATAACAAATTATAGCGATTCTTAATTTTAATAGTAATTATTTATCAATGTGAAATTTTTTTTTAAAATATATGGAATAAAAGTTTAAATTTTTTTAAAGTTTTATTATGGTTTATTATATCAAAATTCTCAAATCTACATTTATAAGATAGAGTACCGGCTAATCCCGAATAAAAATTTCACTACTCGCAAACTTTTAAAAAATCAATAATTTAAAAAAAGAAAAAAATGAATAATGCTCTAAAAAACATATTTATTATAATTTTACAATATACCAATTCAGTTTTATAATAATAACTTTAATTTAGATTTTATGAAGTTTTTATTTTTTTTTGACTTAAATAATGCATACACAACAATCTTAAACACTATTACTATTATCACTTATTGTATTATAAACGTTATATTCATAAACTATACTTATATCTAAATAAAATACAATAAAAAAATATTAAAATACAGTTCAAAATATGGTTCAGAATAATAGTTCAAAAATACTTTTTACTTATAAAAAAACAGTCAAAACTAGTTGAAGTAGAGTCTCTAAATTTTAATTACTAATTGTTTAGACTGTCGAACTACCTTCTGACCTTTCAAAATATTCACCTCTCATCTAATTGTTGGAACTATTGCATCTTATTGCATCTCAGGTTAAAAAATGATGTTTGAAGGTAAACTACCAAAAACTCAAGTTGGTTGTTACATTTTGTATTACAAAAAAAAAAGTTTCATATGACATGACGATTTTTACTATTAAAAGTACTTTAAAAATTACAATTGACTATATAAAAAAAAGATCGTCACCAATCATATTTATTATAATATCAACCAATCAAAACAAACTTCCGCTATGCTAAGACAATAAAAACCCATATTTATAGCAACTCTATATATAGCAGCCAATCATATTTAGGGTTTAATAATTTTTTTTTGTATTTTTTTTTATTATAAAAGTTATAAAATTTATAAAAAATTTTTATTGAGTGATACTAAGCAATATATTATATAATCATATACTCAATTTTGATTGGCTATTCATATAGAGTCACAATAAATTAACATCCTATTTAAAATATTGAAAAAAATACTAAAATTAAATAAAATTTTTTTTAAACTTTAAGCATAGAGGATACATAAATTACTTTTTATAGTAATCATATGGTAGATTATTTTATAATAGCAAATTAATTATATCTATTTGTTATTTATACTGTATTGTACTTAGAGATGCAATTATACTGATATAATAAAAAGTAGTAATATAATATTAGATATAATATTGTATAATACAATATAGCATAGTATAACTTTATTATAATATCAGCTTAATATGATTTAAAATTTTTTAGAATTAAACTTTTGAAATTACAGATAGATGCTTTATAGAATAAGTGAGCAAACTCTGCCAACTCTGCAACTCTAATATTAAAAAATTAATGATTACTAATTATTAATGAAGCTTATTTCTTATTATGCCCATCTATTCTATAAAACATCCTTACAAATAAAGCAATTTAATTAACTAACTCATTTCTATTATTAGTATTATATCTATACCTATATGTATAATACTAGTATTATATTAATATTACTGTATACCAATTGTATAATATAGTATAGGTATAACCTATATTTCTAATTGTATTATCTAAAAAAATTTACTAATAAACAAATCAGATGAGCATTATATAATACTTTTACTTTTAAACAAAGATTTCTTTATAACTAACTATCTAAATTTAATAAAAAAAATTTATTTTAATTTTATAGATTTATAAAAAAATTGTTTTATTAGAATATTTTTTGAAATCAAGCTTTTGAGCTGAGAGTCAATAGTGTAATAGTTGGTACTCCCAGGTCACAGTCACAAGGTTACAGGTTCGAATCTAACTGGAGGACAAGACTCTGTCAGGACTATGACTGAAAGGATTTTTGAGAGGACAATTTTCATGTAAGGAAAAAACATGATTTATATGTATAGAATGCAGTCTGTTAGCATAACTACAGAGTCGAAGATGATCAGATAAAGTAAATTTGTCAACAAATGACATAGAAATTAAGTAAATCCAGCTTAAAAATATAGTAGTATTAATCTAATGAAAGAAAGAGACCACAGGGTTTGACACTCAGAGGGGTCCCTGCCTACACCTGAAACAGAAGGATGACTGAAACCTTAAGACATACAAAAAATGGTAAGACAAGTACTGAAGTGACACATGATAGATTATCGAAAGAAGAACCAGATGGAGCTAAAACTGAAAATACTACTGACGAGCAGGAAGATGAATAAAAAAGTATCTAGGAGACCGAGTATAGATTAAAGAGGTACAGATAATATCAATATAGAAATAGGAAAATTACAATATATAAGATGTAATCCAGATTTATAAATAAAAGAGTACTACACGTACTTAATAATGATAATATCATTGGTATAAAAAAAAAAAAATTAAGCTTTATTGATGTTTTGTTATTAACTATATAGGTTTACATTTAATATTACAACAAGGATACAATCTAGCTCTTTAGATTGCTTATTTAAATAGTTTATCTAAAAGTTTTATACTAATTACTATACTTGCAATCTACTAAAAATTACTTATTTAATTCTCTAATTGTATATATTTACTAATTATTTTAAACCAAATATCTTTATACTAAAGTATTTTCTACTATTTTATTTAAACTTAATTATCTTATTAGTTGTCTCAAGATCCTATAGATGAGTATAGTAGATGCTTCTTAATTCTTTTATATTCTACACATTTCTAATTAAATTTAGAGATATCTATCTACTATAGTTAAAACCAATACTAATAGTCAGAACTAACTATTAAACTGCATAATTCCTAGTATTTTTTGCTTTTGCAAAGTTTACTTAGATCTCAGTATCTACTTTATAGACTATCAATAATACTTTGATGCCAACTGTTAATACCTTAAACTTCTAATCCTAATAGCCCAGAAAAGACTAAGAAATAATCAAGATACTGATGAGATTTTTTAATTATATAATGTAATATAAAAATTTTTAAATTTATTTACTTTAGGGTTAACACAAATATTAAGGCTTAATACTAATAAGTTTATAAAAAATTATTTAAGAAAAATCTTTATTTAGAGTACAAAAAGTAGTTTCTTATATAACTTTTTGAAATAATAGCAATTTTATTAAAATAAATGTTTTAATTATTCTAATTATATGATATTACACCAAATCAAGGTTTAATATTGGTTGATTATTATATATTTAAAAAATATCACCTATGTTCTGATACATTTAAAGACTAGTAGGTGTTTCTTAGTATTTTGAATAAATTTTATTTTTTTCAGTTTTTGTTTAGCAGCCTAATTGGTATAGGGCTTTGCCAAATACTTAATTCTTATTTAGTTTACTGCAGATGTCTGATTTTTTAGATAATAAATCTTTTATATAGTATTATTAAAAATCTGTATTATCTTTTTTACTCAAAGGGTTTGGGCTCTATAGTTTATTGGTTAAGTTGCTAAACCTCTACAAACAAAGTCGATAGTTTGACTCTATCTGAAGATATAAAATCTAAGGATTTTTAATCCTTTGTGACTCAGAAAAGAGGAGTATTATTTTAAACATGAAGCTTTATAACTAAGTTTAAGTGCTTGTATGAGATCAGAAAAAAAAATTACTGAAAAGAGGTCTAATCATAGAGTATTGCTAATGTGTATATTCTTTACTAAAGATTCTGTTACATGAAGATCATATAGGCTAGGTGCTAGGAAAAGGGATCAAATTGACATTTTTTTCAAAAGTAATTTTTTTATATAAATTAATTTAGAATAAGCTTAGAATCACTTTTCACTTAAAATACATAAGTAGTTATATTAATAAAATTTTACAGTATAGCTCTTTAAAGTTTATATTTTCTTATAACTTATTATGAGAT